AAAAAAAAAAAAAAAAAAAAAAAAAAAAAAAAAAAAAAAAAAACCTCGACATCAGCACCACGCGCATAATATATAACCCACAAGCACTTGATATTAAAATCCTCCTCGTAACATATAACTTATATTCTTCCGAAGGAACGCCGTTTGCGAGAGAAAATATATGCATCGACAGCTGTACCTATCATACATTCAACGTCAATGTCCAATCGACACTTTTCGTATGTGTATATACAACGTGCCAAGTATACGTGTGTACATAGTGATACTAAAAAAAAAAAAAAAAAAAAATTCACACGTATACCATATAGCCAAACTGTACTTGCTGTTATTTCTAATACCATATCAAAAGTCTCCAACCGGAGAGACGCGTTTTCCCCCGAGAAATAAAATAACTTTTGTAAACCCCCACACACGGGCGAATGTTTTTTTCGCGGAGTTGCTCGTATATTTTTTACAGTGTCCGTGCAGCCTCTTTGCTTCCTAGAAGGGGAGATACGATGGAAGAGAAGGAGGAGATTGCGCCTCTCTTTTCTTTCAGAGAGAGAGAACACTCTGAAGGCTGGTCGTTGACCGTAACAGGTGTCATGGACCGCCGCAACGTGTGAGTACACGTATACATATACATACACGTGTGGTACATATATATATGTATAAAATCATACATGCTGTACACATACATCGACTCTCTCTCTCTCTCTCTCTCTCTCTGCTTGTGCTTTTAAGCTCTTGACATTCGAGAAATCAGTACTTGAGTATGTTTATCGTATAAATATATTTGTGTGAGCGAAGCATCGAGGGCCAGAGGATAGCGAGTGGAAGGGAGAGGTATTTTTTTTTTGTTTGCTTATTACATAGCTGGATGTTTTATCGAAATCGCGCTTGATGAGGCGAGACGGCGCACGCCTCTGATGTAATCTTTTCTTCATAGAGAGAGAGAGAGGGTCCGATGTGCTCTGTGGACCGTGGGATGGAGAAAATATGTTTTTAGTTGAACTTGGGGGGGGGGGTTTGTTTGTCGACGGAGCACGTTGAATTTTTATTTTTATTAAA